TTTATATATTTATATATTTAATATTGAAAAATATAGTGAAAATTCTTGATTTAAAGTTTTTATAATAGATTATGATATTTTTAGTGAATTTAAATTAAAAAATAAAAGCTAGATATAGTTTTAGTTATATTATTTTTATTTTTATATTTAAATTTAAATTTAAATTTAAAAGAAAAATAGTTTTTTTACCCACCCGCAAACGCAAACGCTAGCTGAAACCAGCTTTTGATTTTAAGAGGTTGAGAGCGGTTTGAAGCGATTTGTAGCGATTTTTGTGATTGTTGCAAAACGCTAGCAACCGCCATCAACCGCAAAAGCTGCGTTTGCGGGTGGTAGCGGGGAAACCAGTCGGACCCTTACTGAACAACTTGATGCAAACTCAAAATTAAACCACTTTAACCATATGACCGAACCGGATAAGAAAGATATCAGCAGGACAAAAAACCCTCAATACTCAAAATTAAATCACTTTAACCAAAGTTTTCAGCAACTAAAGCTATCAGTAAGTAAAAACCATTGTAACTAAAAGATGAAAGCGTGTATTGGGAAACAACAATTTTAATCAATCAGACATAGAAGAAGCAGACAAATTCCTCCAATTGTCAGGCACGTTCTGGCCACAATCCTCCAGAACATTCACCAACGAACCCGCGAGACAAGACACATCCTCCTTTTCTGTTACAAAACTGTGTAGCGTACCGCGAACACTCTCTCCAGCAATACTTGTCAGAATCTCAACGTAGGTTTCGAATGATGGAACAAAATCTGGAAGTAGAACTGTTTCAATGGCCTTCATTTCGGTTGAATCAAACTGTTCTATATCAATCAAGTATGCCAACTTTCCTCTATCGGAAGCAATAAGAGAGGAAAAGAACTGTAAGTACGACAAGAGCTAATAGTCCTTTTTATAATAATACAACAAAGTTTGGGAGAAGCTCTCTTTACCTCTTTGTGACTGCTGGGATAATTTTAGAGTCACTGTTGTTGGCTATTATAACAGAGAGACCCTTGAGCTTAAGTAGAGCTGTCAATTTTCTGAAACTTTCCTTCTTTGCAACAATGTATATCCCCCTTGAAGATGCTGAATCCAGAACCTCTGAGAACTGACAAATATCAAAATTGATGGATGACAATATGTTATTGCTGCTCAAAAATACAAGACTTATCTTGCTGACGTAAATAGAGAAGTCTAATAAACATTTTAAGTATGTCACTGGTAGCTTTAAGAACTTGGGTATGAAACTAATGTACCAAATAGCATACCTTCTGCAGTTTTTTTTCCTCTGAGGCGCAGACATTTACAGTCTGGATAATACAAGAGGCTTGGCTGGCTACAGAATCACTGAGTGAAAGTCTGTTAATTGATCTCCCCAAAAGACTCTGGACAGCTGGAATGTAGGAAGCACTAAAACTGTCGTTGAAAACTATTGATCGGTGGTTGCTGGAAATGGCCTGCTTAATGGATTTCACCGCATCTAGATAACCACTAGCGCAAAGTGAACCTAGTTCATCAATGACCTGTGTAGATATGATATTTCAATTAGCAGTGTGTTAGAAAAAAACTCTTGTATATAGGATGAAGAGCTCCATAGCATGCTAGATGGAGTTAGAGAGAGACTGATCGATCCCATAAACATAAGATATTTAGAACCTAAAAAAAACTGCAACGAAAACGAGATTTTTTAAGTTATGGACTTAGTAAATACACAAAACTAAAAAGAGAAACACAACTAAGATCTTTCATGTCCTGTTAAACAAACATTGGATCAAATATCAGAATAGGGAACAAAACTCAGTTCAACGCAGGCAGCAGATAGATTTGGCTGATAGTGTATAACTAAAAGCTAAAAAGGAACAAAACGAACAATCATCATTCATAACAAAAACTGAAGCAGTACATAACTAAACAGGAATCAGGAGCATACCAGCAAGGAAACCCCCGATATATCAACTCCCTTGAGGGAAACGATCTCCAAAAGTCTCTCAGGTGTGGAAACTATAAATTCAGGTTCTAAGCTTTTCAATCTACAGTTCAAAAAGCAGCTTGTCAGATTGGTTAAAGGGAGAAAAAAAATTCATGTAGCAAACTAGCAACAGCCTGTAATCTGTGTAAAACGAAAAGAGCAATATAATGGATTGGTTAAATCTACCCAGAAATCTGATGATCTAGTTCGGCTCCATTGTGTAAGCTCACTGCATGAACTCCAAGAGGTTTCAGTGCCTTGCAAACCGATCGAACCTAAGAATGAATGACAATAAACAAAAGGTTGATAAGAATGTCGCAAAATGAAAAGAGAGATGAGACAGTCGATGGTAACCTGAGAAGCTTTGGAGTGAGATGGTACGAGATATAAGAGAAAAGGGCTGTTGCTTAGTGGATTGTCCTCCTCCTCTAGCTCGCTTTTAGATATAGCTTCAGTGGCAGTGGAAACGATCCATGCGATTTGTTCAAGGGTGGAAGATGTTCCAGTAGTGTCAACAACATCTTTACCAGAATGAAAAGATTTCCAGAACTCAATCCCCCAAGTGCTAGTGAACAAAGGCTTGTCAAGGTGATGAAAGGAGCTCTCTATTTCGTTCAGGCAGGACATCAGAAACTTGAGTGGACCATCGAACTTCTTCTTATTCTTATTCTCAACACCTTCAACGTCTAGAGATGGTTTCTTAAGAGATTTATTAACTGAAAGAGCATCTCTAGACTTGTTGACCTTTTTCTTTTTCTTTTTGGGAGTGTTCACTTTACCCAGCTTTTCATTGAAGGGATCTTCAGGTGTAGGAAGGCTAAAACACATTCCCTATTATTCAATACAAACACATTCCCAAAATTCATCAAACAAACATTCAACTTTATCAAACACATACTCAAATTCACTAGCCTAAGATTCATAATCAAATTGAGTGAATATGAGCTTCCATTTTGCGATAGAGAGAGATGATAAGACCTGACACATGCTGCGTTTGCCAGTCTGGCGGCGCTTCTTGGCGGCGATGATAGCGGCGATGCGAGAGGAAACGGCGGAGGAATCGTTCTTGCGATTCATCTTCTTCCTGTTGGCTTTGTTCTTCTTCCTCGCCAAAGCATCGTCTCCTTTCGCCATTATTGCTTGCTCTCTCTCTCTCAGCTCAGGCGGCCGTTTTTTGCTTTTCGTTCTCGAGCTTTTTTTAGGTTTAAATTAAATCCCCTTTTTATATTTATTTATTTTGTTTTAAAAATGAGAAGCGGCCGATATATTGCGAGGGAAGGAGAAAAACCCTACCCAAAGAGTTTAGCTCTCTCTCTTCCTTCTTTAGTCGGTTCCGGTCAATTCCGGTTATTTTAGATTCTTCGTTCGTGATCAATTTTTTTATTGGTTCCGTTTTGTTTATCCTGATTTTGACTGATCAAGACTCTTAAGAGAAAACCAATATCCCCAACAGTAGCCAGAGTTTATACAAGAAAACAATTTCTGCCCTCAGAAACCAATTTTACTATTGTACCAAATTTACAGATGAATGATGAGTAAAAAAAAACCAAGGGTTAAAAAGAAAACTAACCTATGTAGAACTACACCCACGAGGAACCTGCTGAACTACACCCATCTATATTAGAGATCTACACCATGTCTTCCTACATGTTTATAAGGTATACCACTGGTAAAAGGTTTTTTATACAAGCGTGACAACCATAAGAAACTAGACAAGACTATTAAGAGAGTCAAGAATCAATCACTGTCTTCCTACTACTCCCCACGTGGGCTGTGACTTCTCCCTGGTACAGGTGTGTTGCTCCTTCTTCTCTTAGGGCTCCGACTCCTCCTTCTCGCTGGTACAGGTGTGTTGCTCCTTCTTCTCCTACGGCTCCGACTCCTCCTCCTTCTCCTAGGGCTCCGACTCCTCCTCCTTCTCGCTGGTACAGGTGTGTTGCTCCTTCTTCTCCTACGGCTCCGACTCCTGTTTCTGCTCGGGCTACGGCTTATGCTTCTTCTGGGTGGGCTACGGCTTATGCTGCGGCTCTTACTTGTGGCTGGACTTTCACTGCGACCCCTTGAGCCATTGTAGGCGGGTGAGCGTGAGTAAGACCTTCTCCTCCTATCATATCCTTCTTTCCTGCGACTATAGAGAAATGGTGAGCATTGAAGTTTATTTGTCCACAACAGATGTCTTGTAATGAAGTTCAGACATAAACCTTGAGTGATGATGTCTTCTAGAGGGAGGTGGAGAACGAGAAGAGCTAGGCGAGCCAGAGTAGTAACGAGGGGAACTACGCCTTCCATCCCGAAAGCTAATGCTCCCCACAAACACAAAACGAATGTTAAAAAGACTTATTCAATGAAAAACAGACAGAAAAGTTCAAGAGAAAGCCCCATGCACCTTCTATAACCACTATCCCTTGCAAACACAACAGCCAACCTACGCCCAAGAAGAAGATCACCATCCATGTGATCTTTTGCCTCAGCAGCATCAGCAGGATCCTCAAAATGAACGAAGCCAAACTTTCTCCGATCTCTGCATTTTGACATATTGAACAAAACAGCATCTCAGAATTAAACATATAAGATGAATGACCACAAAGGTGTAACCACTTTACAACACAAGCCTCTGTTGAGGAATAATTAGCAATATGATATCCCCTGCAACAGACGATAGATATATCACAGGAAAAACATAAAAATAAGTAAGCACTTGCCTGCTAAAACTCGCAAGTTTCAGTTATAAAGAATTGACTTGTTGAAGACTTGAATACAAACCAAACTTCACTTCAAATCTTCACTACCATATAGAACATCTTCAAAAGGATTCTAGTTACTTCTTTGATGTCTTCAATTCTTTAGATTCACTGTTAAACCTCCTCAACAACTTCAATTAACATATCTTCCTTCTCCTTAAGGGATCAGAAAAGTAGTAACTTCAAACTGAATAATCCACGCACTTTCTCCTATTGACGCCGAAAACTAATGGTTTAAGACTTCAAATGAAAGAATGGAAAAGGAAATGGAACTAAAAATAGTAAACAGATTCAAGAAATTTGGTAGAGAGTATGTAATTAGATCATAAGTAAGAATCAAGTGTTTAAAAAGTAGATGTCATATCTACGAAACATAACATGCTCACCCAATATGATGATCCCTTGGCAAGTAAATTTCTTTGATAGGACCGAATTTTTTAAATGCCTTCCTGAGATCATCTTGCCTGAAGAAGTGAAGTAGAATTTGCTAAAAGCCAGAAGAAAAAAAAGGATACAGACTGGAAGCATATTCACCAATACAAAGAGCTATGACTTTCATTAAACCCAAACATATTAAAGTCTTCAAAGCGGAAAGAGCAAAGCTGAAAGGAGAAATCAAAGAATGTACCTGCAGTCACGGCTTAGATTGCGAAGGAAAAGACTGGTACGGAGGTTCCTGCTACGAGCTCTATATCGGCCTCCTCTAGGGCTAGGGCTTGGGCTTAGGCTTCGACCTCTCCCTTTATGACCTCCTCTATGTGGTGGTGGTGATGGGGTGTAGCTCCTTCCCCTCATTGCAACCTCTCTATCAGTCAATGAAAGCAAACAAGAGACCACAAAAGCAAGAGCCTTAGGCAAGAGCTATGACAGTAGAACTTCAACAAATCATTCAATCTGGTTCCGAAAATAACTTAGGAAACATAAAACTAAAAAGAATCTTGAAACCTATACGAACTATGCCTTCCTCATGAATCTTGCAACCTAAGAAGATAACTTTCGATTCCATCTTTGTTCCAAATGAAAAAGAAACCTAAAAAGATCGCAAACAGTTGAGACGGAGACAGAATCAAGCAGCTCAGATTTCGAAGAGTAAAGAAAAAACACCAAAGGTGAAAACTTTCGATTTGATCCTTGAAAAATCGATCAAGATGCCGTCTTTACTACAATTTACCGTCAAAGAAAGAGCCGACTTTTCGAGGGGAAGAAGATAAACTTACCGGAGAACGAAGGTCGGTGGTGAAGACGAACAGCGGCGAAGCTTTGCCCTAATGGATGATGGGATTAAATCGCCAAAAGTCCCCTTTTGATCAAATACGAGCGGGATATTAGGGTTTATATAGCGGTTGTTAGTTTTTGCATTTTAATCCCAGAGACTCTTAAACACACTGTTTTGTGCCTAAAAATTTCTATTTTATACATGTACACTTCAAAATATCTAATTTTGGTTGCTTTTTAGGTTCATAAATGTTATATTAAAGGAGGGAACTAGATTTTAACCCGCACGTTCGTGCTGATATTTTTATTTTATAAATATATTTGATATTATTACAAACATTTTCAAGATATTTTCAAGATATAATGTCTATTTAGTGTTATATATTGTGTAGCTCTATAATATCTATATTATTAAAACTAAAGTACCATTTGGTACTCTTTGAAAATAATTATAGCAGAATAAATGAAATTTTTTTGGAAACAAAGATAGGAGATTAAATATTTTTTTATTTGCATATTTAGGCATTGTATTTACAATAAATTAAACACTTTTCTTTTGTATTTCTTTTTATTTATAGATTATGTCATTTCTTTTAAAATCAATCTAAATTAATTAATTACAATGGTTTTTCTTTCTTTGTGGTGAAAATAAAAACACAAATTGAAATATATAATATATATTATATAAAATATTTTTAAATATAGTACTACCTTATTTAATTTATTCAAATATAAAATTTTGAAAGTTAAAATTTCAAGAAAACAAAATATCATAAAATTAATGATAATCACAGAAAACTTATGCATAAAATTAATTTTTAGTATGTTAATTAATTTTAAAATAAATTAACAAAAAACAACATGTTAATATATGAATAGTAAAGTTATATCAAATTGCATAAAATTATAAATTTCTAATATAATATTAAGTACAAATAAAATAATAATTATTAAACATTTATATTATAAAATAATATATTATATTCCACATGTAAATTAAAACATATAAAAATATAATTTTTTTATAAAACTAACGGTTTGTAAGTTTACGTTGAACACAAGTTCAATCAAACACTCGCACGAGGGTGCGGGTCAAGTTCTAGTTATTTTTTATATCTCTTATTCGACATTATTAATTTATAGGTTTTTTTAATATAATTTACACTGTTATTATTTTTTGTTACTTACAAATATATTTTCGAGTTATGTACGATAAAATAACAATATGAAATAAAAAAATAAGGAACCTCCTTTAAAAAAAAAAAAATTCTTTACTTTATACATTTTGCATATAATACATTTTTAAATTTTATTTATTTATATTATAGAAAATAAATATGATTTTAATAGTTTATATTTACGTGTTGTGTTTAAGAAAATATACTTTTAACATAAATCATCTTAGTAATTTTTGGATTTACACATAAATCACTTTTTTGTTTAAATAATATAGCCCTATTGTTTTAGTAAATTTTATACATAGTACTATCTATCATATTATTTTAGTAAAATTTATGTTATTAATTACATTAATATATGATATTTTTATGCTATTAATTACATTGATTTTTATATTTTAAGCTAAGACTTCAAAAACTTAGACTTCAGAAATTTATTCTTTATCATCTAGGATTTTATGTTTTGGAAAATTTGAAATATTTATCATTTTGAGTTTGAATATTTTGTCAAGAAAACTTTGGAAAACTACACAACTATTCTTGAGTTGGAAACATAACATGAATTTGATTTTTTTGTTACTACATTAACATTTTATTATATAAAAATATTTTAATTTTCGTAATACTTTTTACAAATTTTCTCAACAGATTTTGTTATAATTAAAATAAAAATAAATTTATAACAAAAAGTTGATTTATCATTAATATTTAAATGAATTACTAAAATTTCCTAATCTTAATAATATATTTAAATAGTATATGAACTAAAGGTTATTATATATTATTATATTTTGTATATAAATTGTTTTAAACAATATATTGTTGAGAATTAAAAAAAGATAATATATTGTAGTAAATATATAAGAGTTTAATCTATGTTAATACATTTATTTTTGTATAGAAATATTATATAGTTTATGAATTTAACACATTTTAATGATGAGTGATAATTTATTTAAATGAAAACAAATAATTTATAAAAAAATTATTTTGCTTATTTAATATAATTTTCATATTTAATTCTAATAGACTGTTTTATATAATACATAATATAATTATAGAATTTATAAAAAAAAATAGCATAATTTTTTTTTGTTTTTTTGTTCTATAATAAAATATTATCTAATATTGATTTATAAGAGATTACCTTATTTATTACGAAATTATTAATATGTTATTTTATAATAAAAAAATATTTAAAGGTTCAAATAAGATTTTGTTAGATTCTTTGTCAACAGATTTTATTATAACTAAAATGATAACATTTAAATTTATTATTGGTTTATCATTAATGTAATAATCAAATATGTCATATTAAATTGTTTTTTAAGTTGTCCTACTATAACTTGTTAATAGTAGAGAAAAATAGGACTCTAAATTAATAGATTAGATTAGATTCTGACTCACTCTGTGAATGGGATTATATTTATTTATATAGATGTTTTATGTTTTGAAATTAACATTTCTTGATTTGATGATTTTCTTATAAACTTTGGTGTAAAATTTTTGTTTGTGAGAAATTATAACAATTGCATGAATCTGTAACCAAAGTTGATAATCTAAAATAGTCATTATTTTTCTAGTTTGAAATTATGTTTATAAACTTAAATTAATATTGATATAGTATTTTGATATTATGCAAGAATAAATTTTGTAAAATTGTAGTTTGAAAATGTACAGAGATATACATGTAAATATATTTTAAATACATAAATTTATATACCGTAGTTGTTTCTTATTTTTGTTAAAATTATTAGAAAAATCTTGATATTTATTATTATCGATTTTAGGCTTACATGTACGAAAAATCTCTTTGGTTGATATTAACTTAATATCAATATTCAGTTAGTTTTTATAACTTTATGAAGATCATTAAAATTCATTTTTGTTTTGTTTTTTTTGTTAGCATAGTGTTATAAAATGATTTGGTTGTTTTAGATAATATAGTTCACGTTTTTTATATTCTAGGAAAATAAATAGAAATCATTTATGTTTTTGTTATCATAATATATATTATGAATTTTTTTGTTATTGTGTTTTAGTAATTTTCTCATGTGTATATTCCCAAGTTTTAATAATATGGAATTTGGTATTTCTAAATTTGCATATCTACTTTATTAATATCTACTCTATTATAATATACATATCATCAATATTATATATGAAGTAATAATGCAACGTCTTCTAATATGCAGCAATGGTAAATGTTATGAATTCATTCATCCACATATTTATAGTTGTTGGTCAGATTCAAGTAATTACTTCAACAAATTATATATTGTCATGAGGATCTTGACAATTTCCACACAATGAAAAGAAAAAGAAACAAATAAACCGTATGAATACATACGTAGTAAAAGTTTATATCAATTATAATGTATTGTAAAGATGTATACTATTGTCACGTTATTAATAGCTTTGCATAAAATATGATATGGATACGTTATTAATAGCTTTATATGAAATACGTGAAAAGAGAACCAGCAGGCTCTTATCAGTCGAAAATTCAAATAGTTATACTGATGGTCACTTTTTTCTTTTTTAACTCAACATCAACTTAAATTCACCAAGTCAAAGATACATAAGATTATGACCTCTACAAACTTGAACCAAATACTTTGAAGCTATCTAGTATTGCCTTAAGTCACTTGATTGGACCTAACGCTACTTGATCAAGCAGACAAAGTATTTTTTCGACCACACTGAGATTGACTTCACTCCACGACCCGAAGTGAATCAACTCTTTGACCCCTAAAATTCGACCTCTAGACACGGCAGTATTTACTAACACAGTAACAACAAACCCAAATCGGCAAACTTTACAACTCAAGCTATTAGACCCTAATGATAAGAGTGACGTTCTTGGCCCAACAGCACACTCCGCCGAAGGCGCACACCGAGAAGGACTCACTGCCACCGGCTTTCACTACTCCGTTCCTCAGCCACAAAACGGACAACAAGGTCCGACTGAAAGTGCGGGTTTGGTAAAGGACATGGACCAGTTAAACAGATTCAGAGGTGTGGAGCTCAAACCGCCAGTAAGAGACCAAAGGCACTTTCCAGCGCTGGGATGTTGACCTCCGCCACGAACCGTCGCTAGGTTGACTACTCCGGTTGACCACTCCGTCATCGTCTCCCTTGGTGCGTGTTGTCCCCGAGAACCGGTAGACAACCCTCTGTTTACAAATCATCGTTCCTTCCTCCGCTTGTCTCACCACTCCGTCAAAACAGGAGATCCAAGAAAAGGAAGTGTCTTGTCAAGTCACGCGCCCACACCAAAATGGAATCGCTTCAGATCTAAAAATGGAAAACTAGATCTAGCTATCCATCACCCTAAACGCCGACTCCCTCCTCAACCGTCATCCCATGAACCTCGCTGCTATTCCAAGGACCATGTGAGCCTGATTTCGAAAACCACACCAAGCGGTTTCTGTCTTGACCCGATGAAACCAGAATCGCTAACATATCGGGACAGGGAAGGACGGGGAGAGAGAGAGCAAAAGGAAAAGAGATATTAAAGGAGAAGGAAGGCCTCCGGCGCTGGAGAAGCCGGGCCGGAGCTGGGATTCTTCGCAAATCTAGAGAGCGGCTAGAGCTTTTGTTTTTTAGAGAGAGGTTTTTTTCGGATTTGATTGTTTATACTGACGGTCACTTAAACTAATATTATACTCTACAAAGTGTTTATTATAATTTAATACCAAATATAATTTATTCTAGCTAGAATAAATGAAGCCAAAGTTTTATTATGGATAAATTTAAATAGAAGTCTGAAGCTTTCTTTTTCTTAGGCGGAAGTTATACTGTATTGTAAACTAAATAATAATAAATGTTATAATTATTTCTAATGACTTGTGAATAGGTCCAAATTTAATGACAACATTTTTAAGTAGATAAAAAATAGGACTCTAAATTAATAGAGTAGATTATTATATAAATAGCATAAATAAAATGAAACTGAAGTAGTAAATAACAAAACAAAGTTAAATAGTGTTTGTTAACCTTTTGATTAAAAAGAAATATGATGAATGGTTTGACTTGGCTTGGCAACAGATGATAATGGTTAGGGAACCGAGTGATCCTGCTCCTAATGCAGTTGAATACAGACATGGTCTAACTTCTCCAATGAAGGATGCTCGTAAGTCGTAATAGAGCCTGACCTTAATGTAATCTTGCATTTTGTTATATTACTAATCATCACACTCACATATTTAGTCATCACACATGTGATTCAAATCTCAGCTGGGTGGTTCCATCAGAGATATCATGTTGAGCAAATTATTTGTCCTAGCTTGAGAATCATGTCCATGATTAGATGATGTAATGGGAGAAATAGACGGTTTCTTGTTCAGAGCACTAAGGAATAACTAATAAGGATTCTGTTTCGATAATATCCCACCGTAAACAAAGACTCTGCCTCTAGCAGAAGTTTCAGTGCCTCTCACAAATAGAAAACATGTTTTTTTTGTTTTTCCTCTCATGGAAGCTTCTCTGGTCTGCATTTTCTTCTATGTGCCGTGCGGCGTCTCTCCTCTTCTTCTTCTACCGCGAGAATTGCAATTCTAATGGCGACGGAATCAATTTCTCTTAACCCTTTACATTTCGCGAGGTTTACGAAAGACCCATCAAATCAATTTCGTAAAAGAAGAAAACTTTCCTGTCGAACTCGTCGATCTCAATTCGGTGCTATCTGCTCGAAAACATCCGATTATCAAGGTAACATCACCTCTCCTATTCTAATTAGGAGTGATAGGGTTTGGATGATCATTGAAGCTTATGTTCAAAGATGTTACTTGTGGTTCTGTTTCTTTAATTAACTGAGACTGATGAAACTTTTGGTTGTTTTAGATTTTCAGAGTTATGCAAGACCTTTGCGTCTATTACCAACAGAAGAAGTAAAAGTTTCAAGTGAGAATCCATCTTTAACTGTGGCCAAATCTCGCTCTCTTTATAAGGTTAAGCTCCAGACAAGTAACGTGTTCGGCTCAGGGATTAGCGATGTGAATGCTAGAGTTCTTATATGTTTGATAGACGAAAAGGGTGATTCCGTATTACAGACAATACCTGCAACCTTGTCAAGCAATGATGAAAGCTTCAAGTTTCAGAGAGGTTCGGTTGATGAGTTCATGTTTGAAGGACCGGAACTCGGAAAAATCAAAGCTTTTTGGATCAGTCTTGAGTCTGGTTAGCTTCTTTCACAGAGATAACTTGTTTTAGTTAAGCTTTTGGGAATCAGAGATGAGTCACATTTGTTGTTCTGTTTTCATGTCTTAGGACAATGGAGAGTAGGAGGAGTGAGCTTGTGGGTGGTTAATCCTGGTGTTCTTGGAGACACCAATGTAGAAGAACCCTACTGTTACAGATATGATTTTGAAGTCGATGAGATCTTGCTTGGAGAGACCAGTGACCTATCAATGGTGGAACTCAGACCTACACGTATCACTGAACTCACTGACTCAGATCAATTCTCTTCATCTTCAGCTCAGAATCTTGACCTTACAGCCGTTTCCAACGAGGAAAGCATGGAAGAATATGCAAACTTGAAACTCTCTCTGCTTCTCTACGATGCAGTTCTCATCCTTCTCGGAAGTACTGTCTTCTCCTTCTCACTAGGTGAAAATTCCGCCATTGCTTTCTTCTTTGGTGGATCCGTTGGATTTCTCTACTTGCTGCTCCTACAGAGATCAGTAGATGAACTGCAAGCACCAGGGTCTTCTTCCTCATCCGAAAACTCCAATCAAATCCTCAGCGGAAGACTCAAGATTCCTGTTTTAAGTCTCGCATTTGCCGTAGGATTGTCGGTTTTAGCAGTCAGAGGTTACACTGGAGAAGGTCCCAGTGCATTTGCAGTCACTCCAAGAGAGATTCTGGTGGGGACTTTGGGGTTTCTTGTGTGCAAAGTAGCCGTTGTTTTGGCTGCGTTTAAGCCCTTGAAGGATGGGTCTTAACTCTTTTAAGAGAGACAATAGTTCGTCTTCTCTTCCTGAAAGCTCTCACTTGAGATGTTTGAAGCCTGAAAATAGATGTACATAACTTTGTATACAAAACATATGTAAATAAGAATAGATCCATGTGTATCTTAGATACATCATATGAAATTAATATACTGGATGCGTTTATATGTACACTTTAGACTTTAGTAATCCATGTGCATCTTACATACATCATTTGAAATTGATTTATTATATGTGTACTTTAGTCTTTAATAGTCCATGTGTATCTTACATACTCACATCATATGAAAATTATATACTGTATGTGCATATATCTGTACTTTCGTCTTAGCAGTCCATGTATTAATCACAGCCAGTGACATAGTTTGATTCTTATACAACTCTATGTATTACTTTAATTGACTTCAGCCTAATGTATTTGTGAATTATGTCTTTAAAGAATGTATATTATCAAGCACAAAAGAAAATTTATGCAATACCAAATCAGTTTGTTTTCTTTAAGAGTTCAGTGAGAAGTCATTGTCATAGAATTAATTAGGCAAGCCATGACTATGATTAAACGTGAATTTAGGGGGTGAAATTCTATCATGGGTAAGGTTTTTTCTCAATATAAGATAGACACTTTTATTTATCATAACTACTAACTACCATTGTGTTTATGAAATATTGTCAAATGTACCTTTAATCATTTGTATTAAAAATATAATTAAAGTGGTGTTGAAAAAGCATCTCTTACTAAGTCATAACTCTTGCCAATTGCCATCATTGGTCCATTGACATGCATACTTGTGTGCTTGAACTCATCATTTTCTTTCTTTCTATTTGTATAAATTTCATTTATTTGTTAAGCTCAAAGTAACCACAATAACAAAATGTTCCATAATATCACAATGATGATTCTGTTCTGAGTAAAGTTTTGGTAGGTTAACCATACTAGTATTTATATTAGCTGTATTGTACTGGTAAGACTTTTCTTTATTTATGATCAATGATATTTTGTTCGTATGCTTGTGAGTCTATTTGCAAGCATATAACGTATGGTCTCAAATACTCAAAAGAATCTTTATATACTTTTTTCACAGAAATATTTCATATAATGTTTGGCTCTTTTCTCTTTGTACCGTCTTGAAAAAGGACGACATTTTGATAAATATCCTTATACACCTCAATTATTAATAAGGGAAGATTTTTTTTTTAATTAATATGGATAGATCTGTGACATATAGTTTTGTATTTATTCTACATATAATATTTGAAATTATGGTATATGTATTCTAAATATTCATGAGTGTGTCCCATTCCCATATGAGAAAATCGTCCCCTTCTCTTAAATAGTTTTTGATGAAGTGGTTGAACAATTGCCGTATAATTTAATGTATTTAAATAAAATTTATAATTCAAAAGGTCGGTAGCTGCAAGATAGTCCAAACATACCATTCGTAAGGCATCATCAATTAGCTTAATTTGTTGTCCAAAGACTCCAAACCATTATATTTTAAATACACCTGACCTTTTTTTTGAAAAAAAAATGCAAACGGTTTTAGCTTGTCCATTTTTAACTCTTTTTTTTACTAGAACTAGCATATGTACATACTTGACTAGGGTAACTAAATGATTAATTATATCAGTATACGAATAGCTAGGGACTATATTTTTATAATTAAAATTCCAACTTTCTTTCAATTAAAAATACATACTGATAAAGAAACCTTTCTTTACGTTTTGAAATCTTTGAGTGGAAAATGTGTTTGAAATTAATGTTAATCTTGCACATGGTTGACTAAACCCCAACAAATCTTACACCTTTGTTGACTATTTATTCACTGGCTATAATAGAAATATTTAACTCATGCATTCATTCATTCAATAAACTCTAGATTCTGTAATTACCAAAAAAATACTAAAAACCTCTAAGACTAAATACTCCTATAAAGCATTAATAATGAATAATATTAAATACCTAACGCTTTACTTATGTTTCCTGAGAATTGTTAAAAAGCGTCAGGAGAGAGAGACAAAGCAGAGAGTTTAGAGAGAGAGAGACCCACCAGTCCCATTTTACCGTGTAGAGAGAGAGAGCGAAGTGGAAGGTAAAGCTCACGTTTTGCTTGCTTCTCAGCCGCACTTCTTCCTCCTCCCATGTACAGTGAGATTTGACGACCGTTAGGGTTCTCATCGGTTTCTTCGATCGGCCGGCAAAGTTCGTGACTTTTCAAGGATCTGTGTCTTCTTATGAGCTTCGGGTTTTGATGGATCTATCTTCTCAACGGCAATCCCCAAATGGGTCCAGAGGCTTTCGCCTTCAAGCCCCATTGGTAAAGCTCTTCGCTTCACTTACTATCATTCCTTTACTAGTTTCCTTTTCGGGAAATCTCTGCAATTTCTTTCCTTTTTTAGAAACCCTAGCTTAATTCAGTAGTTTTCCTCAACAAAAACGCTTCCTTTAACAGAAAGTTTACTCCTTTTTGAAAATTGGAATCTTTTTTTCAGGTGGACTCTGTATCTTGCTACTGCAGAGTAGATTCAGGTCTCAAGACCGTTGCAGAAGCAAGAAAGTTCGTTCCTGGCTCAAAGCTCTGTATCCAGCCTGACATCAACCCCAATGCTCATCGTCGCAGCAAGAACCCTAAGCGAGAGAGGACAAGAATCCAACCTCCGCTTCTCCCTGGCCTCCCTGACGACCTAGCCGTCGCTTGTCTCATCCGTGTCCCTCGTGCAGACCATAGGAAACTCAGGCTCGTCTGTAAGAGATGGTACAGGCTTGCCTCTGGTAACTTTTTCTACTCTCAGAGGAAGTTACTTAAGATGTCTGAAGAATGGGTTTATGTTTTTAAGAGAGATCGTGATGGGAAGATCTCTTGGAACACGTTTGATCCTGTCTCTCAGTATCCTCAGCCTCTTCCACCTGTTCCTAGAGAGTATTCAGAAGCTGTTGGGTTTGGTTGCGCTGTTTTGAGTGGATGTCATCTTTATTTGTTTGGAGGTAAGGATCCGTTGAGAGGATCAATGAGGAGGGTTGTTTTCTATAACGCCAGGACTAATAAGTGGCATAGAGCACCAGACATGCTTAGGAAGAGACATTTCTTTGGTTCCTGTGTTATAAACAATTGCTTGTATGTAGCTGGTGGGGAGTGTGAAGGGATTCAGAGGACACTACGCTCAGCTGAGGTTTATGATCCGAACAAGAACAGGTGGAGTTTTGTCGCTGACATGAGCACGGCAATGGTGCCTCTTATCGGTGTGGTTTATGACAAGAAGTGGTTTCTCAAGGGTCTTGGGTCTCACCAACAGGTCATGAGTGAGGCTTATGACCCTGAGAGTAACTCATGGAGCCCTGTCAGTGATGGAATGGTTACTGGTTGGCGAAACCCGTGTACTTCTCTGAACGGTCGGCTCTATGGATTGGATTGTAGAGACGGGTGTAAGCTCAGGGTGTTTGATGAAACTACTGATTCATGGAACAAGTTTATGGATAGTAAAGTGCACTTGGGGAACTCGAATGCTCTTGAAGCTGCGGCTCTTGTTACGTTGAACAATAAGCTTTGTATTATCCGGAACAACATGAGCATGAGTCTGGTTGATGTCTCGAGTCCTGATAAGAACAATCCTCGGATATGGGAAAACATTGCGGTGAAAGGGCAGTCTAAGAGCATTCTCAGTAATATATGGTCGACTATTGCAGGAAGAGCTGTTAAAAGTCATATTGTGCATTGTCAAGTGCTTCAAGCATGATATAAAAGAACTCAACAATGGAGAAGGAACCAAGAAGACAGAAGCTAAGCAACTCTTGTTTACTGGCTCAAGAAGCGTTATACAAGAGCTCATGACTGGTCTTAGCAGAGTCACAGAGTCATACAAGAGTGAGAAGTTGAGAGAGAACAGACAAGGCCATCTCTTCTGGTGTTGTTAATCTTTGTTAGTATTTATAGGAAGGTGATCTTTTTAAATGGGGTTTTAGCAATTGTTATAGCTTTTTTGTTTGTTGACATTTTCTTTTCTGTGGTTTTGTAAATCTCAAGTGTTATTGTCTTAAAGTTCACCTTGCAAAAATAATATAATCTGTGTCTTGAACGGAGAAAACTGATAGTATATGTGGTAAGTTGAGTTTTATTTTCAAAGCCTGCAAGGACAAATCTAAATCTAAGTCAGTGTCTTCTCTAAAATTTTTCATAGTTTTTGTGAAGTTCGGTCTTATGTTTCTTGATATGGTTTAGTTAATGATTCTTTTTGGTAACAAGTTAGTAATATATGATATTTAGGTCTTTATGCATAAACAATGTTCTCGCAAGTGAAATAATAATTTTACACAAAGAATATTATTGCTAGTGATATTTTAATTTTGCATAAAGAATGTTATTGCTAGTGAAGTTTTAATTTTGCATAAAAAATAGTATGTACACTAAAAGAATGATCCACCTAAAATGAGTTTTGTGAGTAATTGTATACTTGAATATTTTAAAATAATAATTCTTATTACTAAAGAAAATAATTATTAATACCATAATTCTTACATATATTTCTTTGTAATTTATGTACTATTAAAAATAATTTTAAATCATTAAAAATAATTTTATATCAAATAATATTTTTTTCAGTTATATAAATTAAGAAGTTGAGTTGATTAATATTTAGTTATGTATTTTCTATTGTTTTAATTCTTAACTTTTTTTATCAGAATATATTTTCAGATAACATCACAATATATATCAGAATTATCTTATTTAAAAATATATTATTTTGATTTTGGATAATTCTTATGATTATTATTAATTTGAGTTACTTATCTAATCAAAATTACTTAAATTTGTTATTATTTTGTATGTAATGTAGATATTATTTTCATTAAGGGTATAAACGATATTAACAACTCTAACTTTTAACGTAGGAGTTCCGTTGCGAAAAATCACTTCGCAAATAATAGTATAGATTTCCCAGGGGATATTTCAATTGTACCACAAATTTGATCCTTAGAAAAAATTATTTTAATAAATACCACAAATTTGATTCTTAGTGGATAATATTTTTCATAAATACCATAAATTTAAACTAACATCTGTAATAATTTATAAAATATTTATAGAAGTGTATAAATTCGACCACACTTCTTAATTATTAAACACTTAACAATAATCACTAAACCATAAAATCTTAAATATTTTCAATTTCGTGTATTTTAAAAAGCAGTAGTCGACTTATGGTATTCTAGCAATTTATCATTTCTCAATGATCTTTCATCAATTTTGTCCAAGTTCTAAATAAATATGGCCATCATTAAAAAAAACTTTTGGATATTGGTTCTCAGTTACATTTGTTTATTAGATTTGAAACTTATGATATATAGAGACGGATAATATTTTGGAGTATGGAGCAGATGTTTTTTTCTTCAATCAATTAATGAGAATTTTGAAGAGTAAAAACATAATTAATACATCCCTTTTAAGATTTTGGTATCTATTTTAAGCTGTTGTTTTACATAATTTGGATTTTAGTTGAGTAGGATGTGATTATTTTTTTTTCTTTTGCATTTGGTTAACATTTTAAAAATGTTTTCGAGTTTCTTTTACTCTTTATTCTTAGTTGCATTAATATTTTATAGTTTATAATATTCCCTCCGTTTCAAAATATTTGAAACATCAAAAATTTCCTTAAACATCCTATATTTCGAAGAGGGAGTATATTTTAGTTTCTCAAGCCCACGGGCTGCTGGCGAAGCTCGTTGGTAATTCTAACACTGATTTGGGCCGTATTTTAACACTGATTTGTTGTAGTTCTAGTGGGTTGATCAGTCGGTTTTTTTAATTGTAAAATCGGTAGCTCAATATTATTTTTACATCAGAAACTAGATTAGGCTAAATGATTTATAAACAAAAAATTAGCTTACTAAAACCTTGTGTTCTTTGTCAACAGCTTACACTTAACGAGTCACTCATTAATCTTAACTTGCTACATTTATTACGCTTTCGTTATAAAACACCAGCGTACAAAATCCTTTTGCGAAAACAAAAACTACACTGGCGTACACAAGAGCAAGTAGGAATAAGATTAAAAGCTACGCTTTCCTTATTAAAATTTCAGTACCCATTAAATATTACAAGTTTGCACTCATTTACATGCATAAATTATATGCATGCACATGCATATATAAATTTAGATGTAATGGATGATATATAAATTTAAAGCAAAAGAACATTAAATAAGGAGAAAGATGTGGGAGAAGAGATGATGAAAAGAAGATGAGAGAACAGAGTAAATGTTATAAGCTCAACAGCCAACCAACTCTTTTTCTCTCCAGCACTCTTCACTTGTTCAGCTTTTCCTCCTCCTGTCCCATCTTTATTTTCATACACAAAGAAATACATTTATAGAATCAGTAATTATGGACATTAACATAATCATATGTATTGAAAATGGGATTAGATCAATAGTGTGCTTAATTAAATAGCAATGTTGACAAGATTAATTTAAAAAGAGATGGACCAATAAGTTGAGCAGATTTAACTAATTCTAGTTACCTTTAACATTTGGTGAATGAGATGTGGAGTTGGCCTTTCCTTCATATTCAATCCTTCCTAAAGTCTCGAACTCTCTAGCCAGTGTCGAGTTTGGAGATAAATGCAGAAGCGCTTTCCCATAAAATCAAATGCAAACAAGTTAAAAATATATAAAGAATCTTGATTCAGTCGACAAAGAAGCAAATATATAAATACCATCAATTGTTTTTTCCATATATATAACAACTGAAAGAATAATATTTGTATGTGACCTCCAGAAATATATACTTAAAAATAAAGACTAATAATTAAAACAGAATGATATAAGCGGTAGGTACTAATTAAAATTTCAATAAAACTTCGTAATATATCTAGTTATTAGAAAGTACTTTCGTTTTCATATGATATAACAACTAATTTAAAAAAAAAGAATTAATAACTGAAATAAGACTGTACATATTGTACTATGAATTACCTGCTACCTGGCTAGTGTAAGTACGTGATCTCCAAATTCAGATAAAAAGAACCAAAAAGGAAGAGAACAAGACTTACAAATACACTTGGTGATGTTTGGAGCCGTAATATGACAAAGGGTGGGAATATGAGCGGCTAGGGTTGCATTAAACTTGAGACCAAGATCAGGATCATCTTTGTCTTTGACCAATATGCAAACACACTTCTCACTCTTTGTTATAACCTGATCAAAACCTCCACAGCAATCTTTAGTTGGCGCCTTGGCGTTTCCTCCCACGAATGGGAGACACGGTGAGAGTGCTATCAACTGGTCCGTACACTCTTCTCTGTCTTGATCGAGATTTGAGCTTCCAAACCTAACCAACATGGAGGTTATCACGATGGTTATGATCATTAGGGTTCTTCTTGATTGCTCCATGGTTCGATGTGGTGATCTTTTATGATATATCTCTCTATATGTATATGTTGATTGGTCGTCACTTTTTAGTTAGATCGAAAGTGGTCTGATCGTGTGTGTATATATATACTAAGTGTCAATGTATTGGTTGGTTGGATGATGTGGATTTATTACGTTTTCACATTTATAGTTGTGTGAAGGTAACTTTTTAAACGTGTAATATATATATTGTTGGAGTGTTGATCAATTACAGGCTTACAACTTTTCAACAGAATCAACAAATTTAGTATAGAGATAACTCAATAAAAGACGTCATCAGTTGAAACTTAATTAAATTAAAAAGGGGAAACTTTTTTGGATTAACTAAAAGAGCAATTCCAATAAAGATTCTCAACGAAAAAATTTCATTATATATATTAGTATTTAATAATGAATATCTTAAAATTACGAGAAATCTAATCCGGAAAATTTCAAGAGAGATCCTTTAGGTCGGATATTCTATAATTTTAAGATATTCATAATTAAATATATATATATATATATATATTGAAAATTTTTTAAATGACAATCCCCATTGGGGGTGTCGGGGTGCTCTGGAGTTCGGGCCAAACTCTAATTTCCTCGTAGGTTCGAGATCAACAGTTGTTACTATCTAATGACATGAAAAGCATCCTCTTAGTAGAAAGCCAAGTAGGAATACAATAAAACCAATTCATTGTGTTCAACCACTAATCCAATGTATTGTTGGTAAAAAAGACGAAAACCTTTTGGTTTAAATCTTTGTTTGTTAGTTAGTATACAAAAAATTTGCATGTATTGTGACATTTTCTGAGGGGAACAAATATTTTGCTCGTGATGCCTTTTATTTATGAAATAATGCGAATTTCTAAATTTGTCAATCCACAGTACATGTGGGTCAATATACATGCACACAGATTAATTATATGAAGGCATAGAATCTCTTCATATACGTTAACCGACTATTTGAGGATGCATGTAAATTTTTCAAAAATGGACAAACAAGGCAACAACTACATCAACTGTCATATTCAAACAACCCTTATGTTTCACGCATTAACTATATAACTTGGTATTTTTTTCAGAATATCATACATCTAAATCATAGAGATTGAAGTTTAATAAGAAGATTGCATATACACTAATCGAATAGTGATTCTTGATCCTCAACAATTTGATAGATCTTGCAGACGTTTGTCACATCGTTTATTCTCCAAATTATTGCTATTATTCATAATTTCAATCATATTATTCTATTTGAATAATCCAATCATAATTTTTAAAGTTAGATGGCGAAATGATAAGATTACAATTTATGAGGGTCATTAATTAATGGTAGTCGAGCCCTAGTAACTCTGCAATATGCATGCATGTGATTGTGATTTTTAAGCCACTAGCTCGAATCATTGTCCTTTTGTGGCTCTAAATTTTTTGATTATTATGTTTACAAGCTTCTGATATTCCTCTTTATTTTCTTTGGTGTTAGGTTGCGGCTATATATTCAGTCTATAAGGACAATTGGATCAGCCATTGATAACAAACGTGACAGATCTCAAAACTTATATAGTTTTTTCCTGACCTTGTCTTATTCTTTATGGCATGCAGATATTTGTAAACGAGACGATGTTTTTGACCGACTGAACTAAAACTTCATTTTCTATGGATCTTAAATCCTAGCCCAGTTTCTATTTTCGGCCAGTATGTAACTTTCTTTCTCAAGTCGTCATAGTAAATGAGGAAAAATATATATGTACTTATTTCCCTATATGACTAAAGATGATAAAGAGCTTGCAAAATTGGTTGAGATTTCTATGATTAGATTCACATAGTGCTTGGTTGTGGTACTAACGTAAATGGTATACTGATGAAAAAATAATATAAGATAAAAAACCACCCATAAACTATGTCAATAATTCGAGAATTATTGTTAGGTCCGATACTGGAAAAAAAAAGGCTTGTTATATATACATGAAGTCATATTTGAAATTCATTTTTATTTTTTAAATTCATATTGCTATATATATATATATGTAGTTGTAGTGTATTGTGTGTATGTCTCTTAAGATTAACAACTACTAGACGCTTGATAAATGTTGAAAATTGCCTTGTTAAAGTTTGACAAAATTCGTAGGATTAACTACTAAAGGCAGTTTTCAAAGTTACGTAGGATTCAAGTTTGACAAAATTCGGACACGAATGCTTGTGATTAGTAGCGACGAAACAAAATGAGTAAATAGTTGGATTGTAGTTGTTGTCTTGTTCTCATCAGATTCCTCACGAGAAGCTTGAAGACAAGAATAGTATTATTCGAACTTTTAAATAGAAAATCAACTACTTATATAACGTTGTCGTTGATTATATATAGTTAAAAAGAATTATTATTATTTGTACGTAACAGATAACATGGTTATGATAGTCCCAGCGTAATATGACTGGAAACTTTTCTGTTTGTAGGACATAGTAAAGAGTTCAAAAATTGTGGAAAACACTAACTATATGTACGATATTTTCCACAATTGGGCAGTAGATAAAAAAAAACAGTAAGTTAGAGACATATCATAATCAAAAGAAAGGACATTACAATAAATTTTAATGATTTCTGTAGATTTAAGAGTTTAGGCCATCTTCACATGTAATTTATTAATTAGAGCTTTAAATGTCACCAGTTCATTAGGTATCCTACCAAACAATAGATAGCTCACAATTATCTTCTAACTTAAAATTTTTTCATTAAAAATTTCACCAATAATTAATAAACTTTTCACATAATTCTATATCCTTGGAAAATAAGCAAACAAAAATATACATTCACAAGTCGCAACCTAATGACTGAGAATCAAGCAATTACACAACTAAGCATGAGAAGTCTCACTGCAAATTGCAGAAGAGATGCAATAGTCTCTTATTGCTCTCTGTTCTATTGATAATGTCTTTGTCGGTCCCACATGTCATTAAACGAAGGCATAAATGGAGGCAACACAAACAAAACACACTACTGTCCAAATACTCCAAAACTACACTCTCTCTCTCTCCATAAAGATGCCACCTAATTTCTCAATACCGACTTAGCTGGAAACACAGAGATTTGGTGGTCATATCTTAACCAACACATCCACAGAAAGAGGCCACCATTTCCCATACACTATTATTGAAGAGTGGCAAGTAAAAGATGAGATTGTGGACCTTAAGTAGTTATGTACTAACACCATGTGTTTCTCTCTCTTTGTCTGTTTTACATTTTGACAACTCGGACGTCACTCTGGCCAAAGGCGGTGCCACAGCCTGGACATTTCCGGTGTCGGATCTCTAAGCTTCGTTGGATGCATTGCTTGCAGAAGAGATGAAAACATTTCATAATTACCACCTGCACAAATATATGTTTGCAAAGAAAATCGGTTGTTGATATTAAATATTGATGGTGATACGAGCGGATTATAAGATTACTATGTCTGCTGTGAAGAAGAGATATAGGATTGATTATTATTATGAGGGTTATTTACCTCTTTAGGCCGATCAAAACAAACGCCACACTTGAGGATGTTTTTGCAATTCTTAACTTCTTCCTGGAGTCTCAGTGTTGCAGCTTCTACACTCTCGGAACCCAACTCTTCAAGCTCCTTGTTTAACTCCATCAGCTCTTCCTCAAGCTTCTTCTTCTCACTCCTGTTCAGTAGATAAAAAAATATTATATCAGTATACCAATACATATTTAGTCACTTCAAACAAGAGATCTGTTTCCAGGCCCACCTTTCATCATCTAATTCCAGTTTGATGTCGTTTGTCCTCCTGCTGATCTGTTCATATTCCTTTTCGGATGAAGAAACAGCCGATTTGATCCACCTGAATTCCTTTTCAGCATCAGCTAATTCCCACTTGGCGGTTTCGAGACTGAGAGCGAGGTGACGATCTTCTTGAATCAGTTTATAAGCCTCAGAGAAACAGCCTTTCATCTGTGAAACGTAAGACTATTAGAAAAAGACAGCGAAGAGAGCTGTTTTGCTATACAGAAGAAAGCTTCTAACCTGTTCCTCACTATGTGCAATCCTTGCTTTTAGAGCCTCTACTGATGCATTAACATTTTGGAGCTGCTTTTCCATTACTTGCTTCTCAGATAAGTGTGTGTTGTAAGCATGCTTTGTCTTGACACTCTCGGAAACAAGCTGCACCATAGATCACATAAATAGTTTAAAACTCAAGTGTTCAAAGGCTAAACAGAGGTAAGAATACAGAGGTTGGAATTGAGAAACGAGCCAAAAAGGGCAATTTCAATATCAAAATGTTCTAGTAGCAATAAAACCAACCTTGATATTATAATCATCCCGCTCAGCCACCTGCTGCAACAAATGTTGGTTCTGTGTTTGCATGTCTTCATAGGCTTGGCCGACAGTCTAGAAAAACAAATTTCATATGAGTATTATGGACTTTCAAAATAGAAAGAACGAGCAGAAGGATGATTGTAGAGAACCTCCATTTCAGCAATCAAAGCCTCTGCCTCCTGCTCTTTAACTTTGATACCTTCCTTAAGTTCCAAAACCTCCCTGGAAATTAGTAAACAATATGATATTAGCCCATAGGGGTGAAAGGATAAACTGCCATGACTATGGATGTGGTAAGATGAGAGACCATACCTCTCAGAAACATCTAACTGAGTCCTTAATTCAGCAATTTCAGCCTTTGCAGTAGCAAGCCGTTCTTGGCAAGCAGTTTCAGTCTCATTAGCTGCTTTCACTCTCAACTCAAGAAAGTGTTCGTCTAAAACGTTTTTCAGCTCCTCAGCCTGAGCATGAGCTTTCCGTTGTGATTCCTTGATTTCTGCCAATCCTCTGAAATTGGAAAGCTTAAATCTCATATTTTCAGCAAAAAAAAAGGAAGGGGTCACTGGATAAAAATAGACTCAAATAGTCACTTACCTTTCATCATTACACTCACGAGTATAGATGCTCGCTAGATTTTGCAACTCTAATTTCTCTTTCAGCAGTTTTTCAATCTGCAATGTCACAATAGACCATTGAGACACTTACAGCTAAGTTTTCTGGAGTTTCAGTAA